TTTGAACCACTGATCTTGCAACTAGTGGTCTAGTGCTTAACTAGTGCACCACTGGGGGTCCCCTCTATTAAAAATAGTGATTTCTATTTTTATTTTTTGACCTGGAGAGATGGCTATGATATATTAAATTAAAAATCAAATTTATATGTATATACGTGTGTGTGCGTGCACACATGCATATGTATGCAATTTTATATCGACACACATGCACACACACACACATAAAATTTGTTTACGCCTGGGACAAGTGGGAAAAGATATACCAATATGCCAGTCGGCTAGCACTGATGAAGTTAGTGTTCGGAATAGAGGTGAATGAAAATAGAATTTTTAGTTTTACACCTCTGTGTTTGGCTTGTTGCAACTAGCCTATCTTAGTAATAACATTAATAATAATATTAAAAATGATAGCTACCATTTAATGAGCGTTTACCATGTACCAGAGACTCTTCTAAGAATTTATCTCATTTGATTGCTGAAACATTCGCATGGGATGTTGGTATTACTATCGTCACCATTTTATAGATGAAGGAAGGAATGAGGCTCAGAAAGGTTAAAGTCACTTGCCGATATTATACTTTACTAATCAGCAGACCAGAATTTAAATCCAAGTAGTCTGATTCCAGAACTTATACTCGTCATAAAAATCCAATGGAAGATTCATTTATTAATTAAAAACATGATAAATTGAGCATATGAAATTGGAATGCTTTGGAGAGTTGCAACTGCAAACACACCAGGCATTTATGCTCTATATTTTCTATATTTATATACAGTCTTAAGGAAATTAATGTCTCAACTTCCTCACTGACCAAATACTCTTTTTTTGTGGCAAGAATGTCTCATTATATTCCTTTCAACATACAAACTGACATAAAATATTGAATAAGTGTTATTTATACTATGTTCCACTAACTGACAATAGTTATTAATTTTGTTCCACTATGAATGAACAAGAAATGTAACTGGGCTAAAATAATAAATTTTATACATTTAAAAATCATGGATTAAATCTTCTGAAGTTGTACATGAACACACCATGAAAGAGCTAAGGGCTTATATGGAACAGTGATGCCACCAACTCTTGCTGGAGGAACATAGGAAGATGAGAGTCTATCTTTACTCATTATTTTATAATGTCATTTAAAACATTATTTATAACCCTTAAAAGGCCTACACATAGACAGTCACCTCTTTTACCTATTTTCATATAAACGTTCTATATTCAGGTCCCAAATAGATTAAACTTAAATTTCTAAAACTGGCTAAGCTTTTCTCTGCTTTCTGAAAACAATTAATGTTGGTATTTAAGAAATTCATTTTTTTAAAATATAATTTTGTATACTATCTGGGTTTTATTATGGTAGGAACTGTGCATGGTCTCCTAGATGTACTAATGATGTAACTTGTTTTAAACAAAATATGCTGTGTCTAATTTCTGGTCAATGCACTTTGGAGCAGAGGTGGGTCAGATGTTAAATTTTGGCCTTTCCCTGGTTTGTGACCTTTCCAAATCTTTTGCTTTCTGCTTCCCAAAGACAAAATAAAACAGCTTAACAGTTATTTCAACAAGTAGCTTCCTGATGGAGACACTCAGAAATGGTTCCTTTCTATTATTCAAGTCACCTGTCATGTCTGGGCCTCAGTTTCTTCATCTATAGTATTAAACTGAGTAACCTCTGGAGCTGCTTCTATCACATTCATCCGTAAGCATATTAGTCTCACTAAATGTATGCTCAGCATTGTTGGGGATTAAAAACCTCAGCCTTTGTCCTCAGGGAGCTAAGGGCTTGCACCGGGGGGATGTTAGTGATGGTTTCAGCACGATTACATGTGGCATTCAAGACTTGTTGATTTAATGAACGGGTCAATCAAAAAATGCCACGTCCTAGAAAGTGGGGACTAGCAGATATTTTATATGTGAAAGAGACCTGTGACAAAACCAGCAATGTTTTTCCAAATGTAGACAGCTGATTTAGGTGTGCAGAGCAATGCACAGCAGATCTGCCCAGATTCTAGACTTGTTCTGCAGTGTAATGAGAAATATGAACTTTCTGCTCCTGCAAAGCAGAAGGATTGGTGGGAAACGGGAAAAAGCTCACAGAACACTATTTTTTCAAACTTTGGGTTACTACTAGAGTTTTTAAATGCGACACGTAGTAAGACAATATTTTTTCTTGAACCTTTGTTTCAGTTAACATAACTGGTTGGTATTCAACTGATAATTATTAAGATGGGTCTACAGTTGTTAACTCTTGACAAATAACTAGCCCCCAAGTTCCCTCCCCACCCCCAGTGTTTGCTCTCCACGGTCCAGCAACTACAAGGGTAGTATATGGCAAGGTGCCTCTAGGACAATGTTTGAGCATTATGGCAATGTTTGATTTGATTGGTCAGTTCAATATTCTTCACTATTTTGAATAAAAACGCTTATCTTGGGTACGTGTGTGTGCGCGCGCGCATGGCTATGTGCTGGGTGTACACATGTCAGGTCATAGTGTTAAAATATTTATTCTTGTGGATCAGGATTAAAAAAGTTTCACAACCATTGTTCTGTATAGGAAGGAATCTTTTTAGGTCAACTGCTTCCTCAGGGAAGAGACCACCCTGGCAGGCCTGAAGTTGAGAATTTTCTTTGATTTATACTTACACTTACCCTCTATGGCAAATAGTACTGATAGAAACTTCCCTTCTTGCATACATTAGGAAAAAAGGTAAATTGGTTTAAAGAAAAACATTAAGTAAATCATAGTTTAAATGGTACATAGCTTAAATTGGGAAGACTCTGTGAGACTGACTACAATTTTGGAAATGCCTCATCTAGCTAAATCTTCTGTTATATAGATAATAAAATGATGGCACCTGAGAAGTGATTAATTTATGTCACCTGCCCCAGGTCTCATGGCTCAGCCAGGGACTAGAAGGTTTTTGGTCCACCCTAAAAAACAGGGCTTGTTAACTATGTCTTACCACTTACCTATAGGGCACAGAATATTTCCCATACTTTGTAGATTTATATTGCATGGATAAGCATTATTTTTATCCTGTGGTTCAGTGCCAGTGACATTGCCTTTGTGAACGTTTTTTAATGTAAGGAAACTACAAGGAATGCCCTAATTCATGACTGCAAATATCTTCATTCATCATGGTGAACTAGCAATAAATAAATAAATAAAACCTGAGCGATAGACAGTATACCTGCAAATGCAAAAAACACTTTTGAGCATTATCTGTTGTACACGATGGGTAAAAAAGCAGGTTATTTAAGGATCTTAGGCTAATTTTGTAAGACGGGGGTAGACAAAACCATGTAATTCTTTATCCGAATTGCTTTGTCTTGCTGCACGGCTTTGCCATCAGCTAATGTTGCAGTCACTTTAACAAGGAAAGGAAATGCCAGTCAGCTGCAGCACCTGGGATCTCCTCACCCTTGGAACATGTCAGGCCTCAGGCAGGAGACAAAAAGGCCCAAGGCTGAGCGTGGAACCCAGGCAAAAAGGAGTAAGGGGCTGTGATCCTGGGTGTGTAAGGGTGCCTTGTCCCCAAGGCCAAAATTTACATTAGCGATTCACCTCCACCTTTGGTACACTTAATCAGGGGCTGATTATATTCCCTGGCTTCACCCTGACTTCAGGATTTTGGAGGAAAGCTGGGGGCAGGAGACTGCTCATGTGCATTTGACAATAAAAAGCTTTGTGCAGCCAGATTCCACCTGCCCAGCTTATACTTGAGCTTATACGTGAGCTGGGTTGACCCACATGGAGCTGTGTTTGTCTTCGCCTCAATAATGTTGTGAGGCTTATCAGCGTGAGAATTCCACCAACTATGCGGGCTATTCCGCAAAACACGATGCCACCTCGGCCAACGGGTCATTGCTCCGCTCCAGCAGCCGGCAGAGAGACAACAAATAAATGGAAGATCCTTCTCGGTAGAAAAGAGGCCTCGCATTCGAAGCGGGGTGGTCTGAAAGGATAAGGCGAGCAAAGAAAGGGAAGACGAAGGCGCTGCTCTGAGAAGCCTGGTTCATTCAAACCCTGAGGACAGCAAACTCCGCCTCCCCACGCCGCCGCCCGCTCAATCGCGGAGCGCTCCGGGTGTGAGCTCGCCCCGCGGGGAGCGGCTTGGAGCCGAGGAGGCGGTGGCAGAGGTGGTTTGGGCAGCCCCGCGCGGCGGATAGGCCCAGGCAAACAACACCCATTCCCCCTCCCCCTCGCTCAGTTCAACTCCCACTCGGCCCCGGCCACGCCCTGCTGCCACCGCCCCCTCGGGCAGCTTTCCGCTCCGCAGCCCGGCCTCGGTCCGGGGAGGGAGAGAGGCGGTACTTTGGAGGGGCCGTCACGGCCGCCACGGCCGCCACGGCGGCCGGAAACTACAAAGGCCGATAGGCTTTGCGGAGGCTCCCCGGCCCCTTTCTCCCACCACTCAGCGCGCGTCACCAGGGTCTCAGCCAATGGGGAGCGAGCCAGGGAAAAAGGGCGCCCGGGTCCGGATGCGCCTCAGGAAAGCCATGCTCTCTGCGCGGGGGCACCGGGTGTTTCAACCTGCACGCCGAGCGGTTGGTGGTCCGTGCGGCCTCACATCCGCCCCTCTCGCTTCCCTTGAGCAAGAGCCCTACTTTTTTCTCCAGTGGCAATTCGGAGGGATGCTGGAGCGGGTTTTTGAGGGGAGGGCGCTGGGAAATGAGTAGGGGGCGGGATATCCTGAGACAACAAGTTTGGCTGTAGGAGGGCCTACCGGCAGAGCGCCTCAGCTAGAACGCCGAGAGAAAAAGCGCGAGAAGAGCCGAGACAGAATAAGAAAAGGTTCTGAAAGAATAACCCCGAGAAAGGGGGTGGAGAGGAGGCGGCCCCAGCGCCCCGGCCCCCGGCAGGTCGGCGGCCAATCCGCTGGGGGAAGGGGTGGAGAGTTGGCGGCTCTGGCGGAGAGAGGCCGAGGGGGGTGGGGAGTCGGCCGGGCTCGCACCGCCCTGGCCCCGCCCCGGGCCCGCGCCGCCACTGTCAATCAAGGGCGAGTCAGCCGGGCTCGGGCGGAGAGAGGAGCTGCTACGCCACAGCCCAGCGGCGGCCATTCGCGGAAAAAGAGGCAGAGCCTGTGCCAGCTACAGCCTCCTCCGAGCCACCGCGGGCGGGCGGGACCGGCCTCTCCTCCCGCCTCGCCCCCACCCCCACCCACCTCTATCCCAGTGTCTCCGTCTGAGGGTTTGTCCTGTTAATGCGGGATGAGCGGTACGTATTCTCCACCCCCCTCGGTCTCCTTCACCGCCTCCCTCCCCAGACCCTGCTCGGTTCTCCCCCCTCCCCTGGGGCCGCTGAGATGCTTTAAGGGGAGGAGGAGAGGGAGGGAGGGAGGAGAAGGAGGGAGGGAGGGAGGGTTGTGTTTTGTCTTAATGTCTGAGAGAACAACCTCCTTCTGGGTGTTGCTCTGGAGCCGATGGGTCGGGTTTCAAACCACGTTTTGTGATATCCCCCTCCTCCCTTCCCTCCTTTTCCCCCACCCCCTCCCGTGTGCGTGGATCGCGGGTTTATGGAGATTAATACTCGGGGGGAGGGGGAGAAGAGGGGAGAGGAAAAACGAATAATAATAATCCTAGTAACCTGTTGTCGTGTACGTGGGGGGTTTGTTGCAGATCAGAAGAAGGAGGAGGAGGAGGAGGCGGCGGCAGCAGCGTCAGTGGCGATGGCTACAGAAGGAGGGAAAACCTCTGAGCCAGAGAATAACAATAAAAAACCCAAAACCTCAGGCTCCCAGGTAAAGGCAAGCATATAAAAAAATGCATCCCGAAAGATTAGGGGAGAGAGGGAATTATACCCTTTAAATGCCCAGAAGTGAAGAACAGAATAAAAATGTTTATCCACTCAAAGCATCTTTCTGAAAGTGAGGAACTTAGAAATTAAATTGTAAATTCAAACAGATTTCACATATTTGAGGGTATAACATTGTTTAAAATTACATCATGAACTCAAACTGTGTGAGAAATGGTTATTTTCCCGAGGGCATTGTAAGTCTAGGAAAATAACACTTTAAGAAAGTTTGTTAGAAATTCCCTTTTATTTAAACTTTATATTGCAGGTCACTTAAGTGCTTTTGTTCATTTTCTTTTTGATTTCTACCACCATCTCCTGAATAAGTTCTTATATTTAGAGCTGTCAAAAACAAAACAAAACCTCCCAACTACTGGCCTCCACTAAATCTGCCCACTTTTTTTTCCCCCCTCTCCTTTACCATCCCGTTTTGGGTAGGACTCTCAGCCCTCTCCTCTGGCTTTACTGGCAGCTACTTGCAGCAAAATAGGGACTCCTGGTGAAAATCAAGCAACTGGACAACAACAAATTATTATAGATCCAAGCCAAGGACTGGTGCAGCTTCAAAATCAACCACAACAGCTAGAACTGGTAACAACACAACTTGCTGGAAACGCTTGGCAACTTGTTGCTTCCACTCCCCCTGCTTCAAAAGAAAATAATGTTTCTCAACCAGCTTCTAGTTCATCTAGTTCTTCTAGCAGTAATAATGGGAGTGCATCTCCTACAAAAACGAAATCAGGTAATTCTTCCACCCCTGGTCAATTTCAAGTCATACAAGTACAAAATCCAAGTGGTAATGTACAGTACCAAGTGATTCCACAACTTCAGACAGTGGAAGGCCAGCAAATCCAAATCAATCCTACTAGTAGTTCATCTTTGCAAGATATGCAGGGTCAGATTCAGCTCATTTCTGCAGGTAATAATCAAGCTATACTGACAGCTGCTAACAGGACAGCTTCTGGGAATATCCTTGCTCAAAACCTAGCAAATCAGACAGTTCCAGTCCAAATTAGACCTGGTGTCTCAATACCACTGCAGTTACAAACCCTCCCTGGTACTCAGGCTCAAGTTGTAACGACCCTACCAATTAACATTGGAGGAGTGACTTTAGCTTTGCCAGTGATAAACAACGTGGCTGCTGGAGGAGGGACTGGACAGGTTGGCCAGCCTGTTACTACTGCTGATAATGGGACTTCCAATGGGAATCAGTTAGTTTCCACACCCACCACCACTACTGCTTCTGCCAGTACTATGCCGGAATCTCCCTCCTCCTCCACTACCTGCACAACCACTGCTTCAGCATCTCTAACTAGCAGTGACACGTTAGCGAGCTCAGCAGATACGGGCCAGTATGCAAGCACATCAGCTAGTAGTTCTGAACGCACCCTTGAAGAATCTCAGACACCTGCTGCCACTGAATCTGAAGCCCAGAGCTCTAGTCAGCTTCAGCCTAATGGACTGCAGAATACACAGGATCAATCAAATTCTCTTCAGCAGGTGCAAATTGTAGGCCAGCCTATTTTACAACAGATCCAGATCCAGCAGCCTCAACAACAGATTATTCAGGCCATTCCACCACAGTCATTTCAACTCCAGTCAGGGCAGACAATTCAGACCATCCAGCAGCAGCCGTTGCAGAATGTTCAACTTCAAGCAGTAAATCCGACTCAGGTGCTTATCAGGGCTCCAACTTTAACACCTTCAGGGCAAATCAGTTGGCAAACTGTACAGGTTCAGAATATTCAGAGTCTTTCAAATTTGCAAGTTCAGAATGCTGGGTTATCCCAACAATTAACCATCACCCCAGTGTCTTCAAGTGGTGGCACAACTCTTGCTCAGATTGCTCCTGTGGCTGTTGCTGGTGCCCCAATAACTCTGAATACTGCCCAGCTTGCATCAGTGCCTAACCTTCAGACAGTGAGTGTTGCCAACCTGGGTGCTGCAGGCGTTCAAGTACAGGGAGTTCCAGTTACAATCACTAGTGTTGCAGGTAAGTTACTACATCTTTTCTCTTTAAGTACCCTTTAAACAGTTTTAATAAGTATTGGTTGTTGCTTTTGTGGTCATAGACCTCTTAAGTAAGCAGATAATTAGAAGGAATAAAAAATAAACAATGATATTAAACTGCCAACTGTAACTCTATAATGATCAATGTGACCAGTTTTTTGTAGATTTTAGTAGTGTTTTTTGTGTTAAATTTGTTACATAGACAGTTTAGAGAGATTATTCTTTCATAGAATTGTCCCTAATTAGACTCATAATTGTCTTCTGAATTTAGAGATCGTGTTTGAGCGCACTTGAACTCTTCAGAAAGAACCCTAGTCAAAATGATGTTTATCTCTTCTTTTAGAGAAAGTAAATTTAAAATTGAATTAGTGTGGACTTGTGAGTCTGTTGAAGTTTTAATTCTACAGTGTAATAAGGTTAACTTTTTTTTTTAATTGAAAGTTTCTTCCTGAACTTAACTATCTTGTCACCCAGGCTTTTGTGTTTTATTACACTGAGTTGTTTTAAACTAGATATGGATGTTGTTGGGAGATAAAATTTTAAGTTGGAAATTGTTCAGTTAACTTTTATAGCTATTTTTCTGCTAGAATCGGGATTTGCTCAGGATTTCGAATTAAAGTTATTGAAATAGTAGGATTGTGATATCAAAAATAGTCCTTTGTTTAAGTAATTATATTTAAGTAAACATTACGGTCATTATGGTGATTAGTTATAGATGTTTTAGTGTGTTGTTTTGGAAAGTAATTTGAAAAGAAGATGATAAAATACTACTAATTTGAATTAATGGGGGAAGGTCATTCTCAAACCAATTATAAAGCAGTTCTTATTTGTTGATAGATACTTCTGAAGTACTTGGAAAACTAGTTTTATATAAGTGTTTTAATCTTTCTGGGTAACAGTTTATTTTACCTAATATCTTGTGTTTTTTAATAATTAAACACTTCTCATTGATTCTGATTTGGTGAACACCTAGTTGTGGTTTTAGTCTCTTTGACACATTCAGAACTCTTTAAATATTTCTGTTTTGTTAATCTGAAATTTATAAGTTTGTCATTTTTGAATGACTTCTTGAAAGAAGTTGCAGGAAAATTCTGCTAGGGTTCTTGTATACTTAATACCTATAGGAGATGTATACATGTAAAATGGAAAATTGTCAGATAGCACCTTTTGATTCAGTAGAATGGAGATTACATTTTTTATTAGAGACCCAGTATTTCTAGGTCAGTGCTATCCAATAGAATATTTTGTTGTCTTGGAAATGTTGTATATCTGTGTTGTCCAGTGTATTAGCCACTAGCCACATCTGGCTATAGAGCACTTGAAATGTGGCCAATGTGACTAAGGAACTGAATTTTTAATTTTATTTTAATTAATTTCAATAGCCAGATGTAGTTAGTGGCTACAGTACTGGATGGCTCAGTAATCTATTTAGCATATTCTGAGAGTGGTACTTTTCCCTCTGAAACTATTGCAGTATGGTTATATAAATTTCTCGGGATTAAAATCCTTAGCTTGCTTTGTACCTATTTTTTCTAAACATTGACGGTAACTTGAGTATTTCAGAAAAATGTCTGTTTTGGTTGGTTGAATGACAGTTTGCACTGTCAAAGCAAAAGTTATGTCACTTACATTTCATCTTGCCTTTTAAACATTTAAGGGCTCAGTTGCTAACCAAAAGGTCGGCAGTTCAAATCCAGCAGCTGCTCCTTGGAAACCCTATGGGGCAGTTCTACTCTGTCATATAGGGTTTCTGTGAGTTGGAATCAACAGGACCCAACTGGTTTGGTTTGGTTTTGGTTTTTAAGCATTAGTGAATTAAGTGACTAAGAGATTGAGTAGTTTACAATTTAAGTTAGAAATATCAATTCGTTTGCCCTCTAGTTGATATCCATTATAATCTAGAAATTTTCCTCAAAATATGGTCTTAACTGCCTAACTCAGATTCACTTGAATAGCCCATTATAAACGCAGAATCCAGCATCTGGAAATACAATTTTTTGTAGTTGGGGGTCAAGGATTTGCATTTCAAACAAACTTCCTAGGTGATTCTAAGGCTCACTAGTCATTAGCAATGAACAGACTTGAACCAAGAGGCAGAATATACAAGCAGGTGTGCGCTGAGCTGGTTCACATGTGCCTCAGAGTTTGTTTTCAGTGAATGGATTTGGAGGGTAAATACAACTGTATAGCTTTTATTTTACATGCATATATTGATTGACAACTGTGTGCTAAACTCTCCAAGGTGTGCTTTTTTTTCCTTTATCTTCAGGGATAATTTTTTTTACTTAAAGACATGTTTACGTAGTTGGGGGAGCCCACTTAAGTATGAGGGCATTTGAACTTTATATAATTGGATTTTTTTTTTCTGAAACTAAAAATTTTTAATTTTGTTGATGTTGAAGAGGTGATGTTCTAATAGATATGCTCAAACTGTTTGAGAAGATTGCCGTGAGACTAGAAGGGTACTCTGATATAGACAAGTCAGTGAGGTTAATGTGGGCTTAGTTGTTTGCAGATTTTACCATACTGCCTTGTCTAGTAGGTACTTGACAAATGTTGCCGGAATTAAGATATAAAAAGTGGTGGAGAAGATCGCAATTTGGAATTGGAAGCAGTGCCTCAAAGTGGTTTTAATGAAGCTATTTCTTTGGCTTTGAGTTTTTAAGACATTAACAGTGGGGCACAAGGTACTTTATTGGAGAAAGGCAAAAATGAGCATTAAGGGCCTGGAGCAGTTCTGTTCTGTCCTGGTAGGGTCACTATGAGTTGGAATCTACTCAGTAGCAAAGGGTTTATATCTCTTTTATAATTGAGCCTGAAAGTTCAGATCTTTTACTTTGTGTCCCCATTCACTTTCCAGTAGTTCCTTGGTTATTTCATGTTTCCCCCTGGGAGAATGAAGATGTTTAATTTTGTTAAATTTATTGGAAAAAAGTTGCTTTAGATACTTGAGACAGCTGTTACCAGGGCTTGAAAAACATTATCAGCTTTGATAGAGTGTAACGGCTAGCCCAAGAACAGGGGACTAAAACTTCTCACCATCTTCATTTTATTCTTTGTGGGATAGGAAAGGGGTCTGAATGATGTGGACAGAAAAGGAAAAAAACATGTAAGACAAATCAAATAAAACCAGTTCTTGAAGCTGGGGAACTTCATACTTAGTTTTATGAGATAAGAATGTTAGCATCAACCTGAGGGACCTCTTTCCCTCCTTCAGCGTAATGTGTTTCTGTGTTTTGGTCTCAACTGAAAATCCTGAGTTCCAGCCTTAGCATCTAGCTAACTAATTGTAGTATGGACTAAATATATTTACCCCTAAATTTTATTTGTTTTCTTGTTGGGATTCTGAGTTTGCCTTTGACTGAAGGAGGAGCAGAAACCCTGTTTTAAATGAAGCCCAATGGTAACAAGTAACTATACTGCTGGTTTAAGAACATTCTTTAACTGAGGAAAGTGGAAAGTACTCTGCTCAAAAAAAAAAAAAAAAAACCCCCACCTATTTTCACAATACCCTCTGGTAGCCAAAGAGTCTGAGATAAATGAACTTCAGGAATTATATCTTTTTAGTAATTCTAAATTCTAATTAGTTAAAGAATTTAGAATTTACAGAGACCATTGGTATCTAAATCTAATTAACTTACAGTGGTCAGGAATTTGACTTTTTTCTGGCCCTAATCATCAGATATAGTAACACATTATATTGTAGACCTTTTGCTTGATGAATGGATATTTCTTTGTCAATTTTAGTGGAAATTAACATTGTTATGCTAGTTGTCTCACAAAAGAAATTCAGACATGTTGATAAAATGTTGTTGACCCTTAAAGAACTTGACTCTTACCTTCCTTTTCTTCTCCAGGGAATTAAAGTATGAAACCTGGGCATGTAGCAGAACCAGGAAAGGGAGAGCCAGTTCTTCATTATTGGTGAAAATGGGGACCAAAGAAAATAATTGAGATTTATATTTAATCTAAAAACCTAACTTTATCTGGTAGTCAATGTCTTACTCCAGACTTTTTTCCAGAGCTGCAAAAAGTAGAAAATTGGTTTGTGGTTTAATCCAAATGTGGTTTTCCTTTTCTATATATGTTGTATAAATTTGATTTCCCTAGTAGACATCTTAAAATAACATATTTGTGTGCATATGTATACATATACTCCTATGTTTGATTATTTCTTTTTGCAGAAAAATTAGGTTTATTCCTGGGATTTTATTTCTCTAAAATCTTCTAATACTTTTTATACAATTGGAATTCATTATGAGGAACTGACATCTTTTACCCTGTGCAGGTTCTGAACTACCAAGTTGGTTTTACCCATTAGATAATATACGCCATGACCTTTAAGATTTGGTGATGACCACATAACAGTCTCGTTGTCTATTTTTAATTTTTTCATGGAAGATGTAAAAGTACTCAGTGTAGAGCCACATTAATATTTTTGTAAAGACATCTTTCAAACAATTTCAGAATAAGAAATGAGGGAGGAACAATGGAATATAGAGTTTTAATCATCTGTTTTTCAAATTCTAGATCAAGGAATATATAACAAGTAATACTTCAGGAATATTGGGGCAGGCATAAAAGTAGGTTGAAGAGGGAAAAGGCAACATGATGAAGGAAAGTAGGGAAAGGATGCTATGCATAAATCTTGTAGAAATAGCATGTTAGTTGCCCTCGGGTCAGTTACAAGTTGTGGCAACCCCATATGTAAAGAGTAGAACTGCTCCGCAGGATTTTCAAGGCTGTGCCTTTTCGGAAGCAGATCACCAGGCTTGTCATCCAAGGCGCCTCTGGGTGGTTTCCAGCAGCCAGCATTTCTGCTAATAGTCAAATGCTTAACCATTTGCACCACATAGGCTTACCAAAGTATTTAGGTTGGAAGGGATACAAAGAATTTGCTCACCAATTGTAGCCTTTTGGGATATTACTGCTAAAGTCTACTTATAAAGGCATCTTGTGTTTTCACTATTTTAGCTGTAAGCA